TCTGGCAAGCACAAGGGCCTGAGTTCAATCCCCAGTTCCACCAAAAAAAAAAAAAAAAAGACAAAAAAAAAAGGACTAGGCAAAACTAATTGTATCGGTAGATGGAATACATAGGAGAGATTTAGGGAAAGACAACTTGTGCAACAAAACTATAAAACACTGTTGAGGGAAACAGAAGAAGATATAAATAAATGAAAGAAATTCTATGTTTTTAGATACATCCTCCAATATAATATTAAGAGGCCAATATTTCTCCATATGATCTATAGATTCAATATAAGCCTTCTCAAAATACTAGCTAGTAATTTTTTCAGAAATTAATAAGTTGGTCCTAAAATTCATAGAGAAACACAAAGAATCTTGAAAACTAATGTAAACAATCTTGAAAAAGTAGGATAAAATAGGAAGACTAGCATTTCTAATTTCAAAATTTACTACAAAGTTTTTTTTAAGTGACCAAAATGGTATAATCTGGGCTGGCCAGATAGCTCAGCAGACTAAAGCACTTGCTTCAGCAGAGCAGTGATCAGGGTTCAGTCCCCAGCCTGCTAGGCTGGCTCTGCCCCCGGGGCATGCTGAGATGGCAATTGAGACTGGGCGTGCTAGTACAAGCCTGTAATCCCAGTGCTTGGGAGGCTGAAAACAGAATCACTCCAAGTCCGATCTACATAGTGAGACCCTGCAGACCTTCTCCTAAATTCATTTTTTTAAAAAGTGGTGTAATCCTGGCATAAGTCTAGACCAACAGAGCAAAGGAATAAAATTTGGATACCAGATAAGCCCACATACCTACAGTCAGTTGATAATGGACAATCGTGTCAAGAACACTCAATGTGGACGAAGGAATCTAGTCCACAAATGGTGCTGAGGCAGCTGGTATCTACATGGGAAAGAATGGCACTTCCTCCTTCACACCTTATACATAAATTGAAATGGCTTGAAAATGTAGACACAGGAGTTAAAACAGGGAATTCTTTGATGAAAACATATGGCTTACTCATTATAACTTTGAACTAGGTAATGTAGTCTTCATATAACACCAAAAGCATCAGTAGCAAAAGAAAAATAAGTTGGACTTTATAAAAATTAATATATTTTGAGCCACACATTATGGTAAACAGCTGCAATCCCAGAACCCAAGCCTGCATAGCAAGATCTTGTCTCCAAAAAAAAATTAGTATATTTTGTCCTGACATAGTGGTGGCATGCCTACAAGCCCAGGACTTGGAAGGCTAAGGAAAGGGGATCTCTGTGAGTTCAAGGCCAGCCTAAGCTGCAAAATTATGTCTCAAAAGCAAACAAAAAATGTTAATAAATTTTGCACATCAGAAGACACTATCATCAGGGGATTAAAGCACCTGCAAGCAGGTGCAGGAGTGGGGGTTCCATCTCCAGCCCCACCCCAGGGGCATGCTGAGATGGTGATTAAGACTGGGTATGGTGGTGAGCACCTGTAATCCCAGTTCTTGGGAGGCTACGAACAGG